CGAAGGTTAAAGGCGCCGGTAGAGAACGCTATTCACGGTGGCTACTCGCAGAATGAAACCATTACTTCTCGAAGAATTCTACTTCACGTCTTAATCGAAGAACGAGACGCGAATGCTTAATGAAAGCGAGAGCCATGGAAGACAATCAAGATACCGCGAGCCTTGCATTCCGACATGCCTAAAACTTAAGCGATCTGTGGTTTTTCTGCGACTCGTTTCTACCATGTTTAATATCCAGAGGATATAGACAGCGCCTGTTGATTCATCGATGCTCGCTAGTTGCTCTTACGAGAAAACAGTATTCCAAACTTAACTCTTTAGCTACGGCAGATGTTGATACATAATACCGTGCACTGCACGCAGCATGTAACAATTTAACCGCGCTCTGGTGGTGCGTGTATTTTTCAGATTCACATTGACATGGACGAAACATTGAACCGTATTACACGTTGTTCGTTAATAATAATAATGATAATAATAATAATAAGAATTTCTGATAAAATGTGTCGTACTCTTGTAGGTGTCAAAAATTGGCTGAATCCTTAGGTACGAGTCAAAAAAACTGCAAATATCTGTGCAGGTTTTATATTTAGAAAATAGTTGTTTCAGCGAAAATAAAAGACTGATATATCTTTGAAAAAAACACGATAAAATATAATATAATATTTATTATATGTATAAACACATCCGGTTATATATCTTATTTATTTAGCCGAACGACAAAACAGCAATAGTCTACACCTATTGCAACCATCGCACTAATACCTAGTATTATGTACTTAAATAGATTTTCCCGTTTATAAATAAATAAATATAAATACGCGTGTGGTTACAAACCCATCCCGCGGAAGCACTCGAGCGTTAGATTCGCTACTAGAAAATCGAATCTCCTAGTAGTCTAGGGTTTAAACTGCTGGCATCGTGTCGTAATTTCTTTAGAATGTTCCAGGAAACTGAATGATCGGCATTCAAAGGGAATACTGAATAATTTACTGACGAAACCAGCGGCCACAATGGATAGCAAAGTGGCGGAAAATTCGTTCGGAATAACGAAGCCAATCGATTCGACGAACGATTAAGCCAGAAATCACACGATTCTCGCCGACAATGAGAGGAGCGTTTCGCGCGCAACAGTTTCCATTCGATGGAGCCCCCTTTTTCGCAAAATTTCACCGTCCCCCTGGTCCCTGAAAATGCAGCTGCTCCGAATTCCACGGCAGATCTCGCCGTTTCGCTCGCTGGACCGTGACATCCTCTAGCCCCTGGAAACCCTCCACCTATGCAATATCCTCGAGCCTCGGGGCCCCGTCATATCCTCCGAAGACTTCCGGAACGCCTGGCAATCTCGGCTTTCCCATTCCGCGAAATTATCGGCAAAAAGCTCGGTTCGATCGACGGCCGGTTCGAGATAGGGACTGCGGCCCGCCGCGCCGGAGGAGAAGAAACGCCGGGAACGGAGAGTGAAAGAGCTGTTCGGTAAAGGGCGAGGGGGGCAGGGACGGGCGAAGGGAGAAAGAATCGAGGGAGAAGGGCGGGCCGAGCAAAAACCACGAGCGTTACGTGCCTGTTCTTTACGATAGAAGCTCATTGCTCGTAGATTGCGATTTGCCACGGACGTAATGAAGCCACGCCAGCTTCTGGCGGCGCGGCGCGGCTCGGCTCGGCTCGGCTCGCCGCTGCGAACCCGGCTCCTGCGGCCCCGTGATTGCGATTTTTGATTCGAGAAACCTCCCCGCCGTGCCGGCATAGCAACCTCGGATGTCCGTAAATTTCCCCGCTTAGAATTAGATTCCGCGCCGTTGCTTTTTCTCGACCGATCTTCGCCGACGGAGGTTTCGCGCGTCGACCGAGAGTCCAACGACGAAAGGAGTTCGAAACGCGTTTCGGAAAGACCCCAGGGGAAGCTGGCCCGTTGCTCGGTAATTGCTCGGCCATTGTCGGAGGCGTGTATTTATGCAGGCGCAATTGGGATCGCGAGGAAACGTTTATTAAAAGCAGCCACGCCGAGCCGCGCCGGCACGAAACGCTTTGAATCACCGCGCGCTCTTAGCAACAGGTGTAATGATAGTGACCGTAACTGGATCAATGATGGCCGACGGTCGTAACTCATTTACAGGCTGGTCGTTTTGTTTCGATAGTCGGCTAGCAGGACTCGCTGGGAGACAAATTCGGCCTTCCTCGCGAAGAAAGACGTTCCGGCGGCGCGACTCGAAATACGAATCACGCGTGTTAAGACATTCCAGGCGGTTTTCTCGAATGTATTCGTGACGCCTGTGCGCGTGCTGATGCCGATCTTAACGCGTAACCATTAAACATAATAAACTGGAACTATGAAATAATAAAACGCCAATTAGCGGTTAATTTGGGCGCTGAAAAAATCGTGCTCATCCTTTCGTGAAATTCTCCGCAGACTTTTTTAACGAGCCTCGATGCGAAACTTTCCCATTTCGACTTTCAATTTAATCGTCTCCGCGGTCTCCGAAAGGATGCCAGACGTTCCAGAAAACATTCTCGTCTCGGTTTTCGCGCGAAGTTTCTCGAAGTACGCGGCGCTGCGGAGTCGGTCGCGTTTCTCTTTCGAATTCAGATGGCGGATCGCGTGCGTCGTGGGCGTCGGGCATCGATATTGTATTTAATGTTGCGGATGCATAATAGTCTGCGCAACCTGCCGCATAGCAACCGCGCAATGCTCCTCCTGCATCCCCGACGCGGCGTCCTCGTGTTTTCCGGTTTTTCGTTTCCCGGTATTTTCGTTCCTTTTTTTTTTTTCATTTCGACGGATCCCTTTTTTTTCATTCGTTGTTTCAACAGATCGAGACCGACCGACAGTTGTGACAAGAGAGAAAGAGCGAGAGAGAGAGAAAGAGGGAGAGAGAGAGAGAGCGGGAGAGAACGCACGGTAGATGCGAGTCTGGGTACACCTTTCCGTGGATGTTTGCGCGCGGACCGATGCCGTCATGACAGCTCAGATAACGGGCGTGACATTTTGAAAAATTGAGGGCAACGATGCGAACAACGTCAACGAAATGCATCCCCGTGGTTCGTTTTCCTTCTCCCTTCGCGCTGCCGTTCCCGCCCGACCCGCCGACCGACGAAAAACGAAACACCCGTACACCGGTTCACCATTAACACACCCGGATACATCCAATTTTGAATTATAGTCGGCGCCGAAAATTTTCCTGGATCCTCCTCGTTCGGCAAAATAAGATCGCCCGTCCTCGGGCCGCACCAGAGATCACAATTTTGAACGTGCATTTGTGCAACTAATATGTCTCGATAACTTGAATTAACTAAATGAAATAATCCAGATGAACATGACCGGTGTGAACGATTATAGTAACACACCCGTCAAAAATACGGAAATTTTATAAAATGTTAATGCACTTCCAATTAATATTCCTACATGTACTACCGATGAATATGTTACTAAAAGTTTTATATCCGATTGACGTAAACGTAATAATATTACAGTAACAATAATAATTAATCTATAAATAATTAATTGTAAAAAGAAATGGAAATATATTTATTCGTAACATTCGAACACAATAAAATAGAAGTTAGAATTATTGAACCAAAAACGGGGACTTCGACGTGAGCTTTTAATGATCGATTATATCTAATATAAATATAAGAGAATCTCAACAAAAACAGAAAATATTCTGGACACACGATATCATTCATTGAAACTTAAATCATAATTTTGTATTTTGAATACACGTGATATGAGCAGATATTTCTAGTATCCATTTCGTTACCCGTACTCCTCGATTAGAAAATTATATCTCGGATATATCATTTAATTTGTCAACGAACCAACGAATAAGTCTAGAATCAGGGATTCCAGAGAGTTCGAAATGCAATTTGCATTTCGGCAGTCGGTGCATGCCCGATAATTATTTCGGCTAGATAAGGAACGATAACGAAGAAAAGGTTCGTTACCGGCAAAAGACCAAAAGCTTCTCGGAGAAGAGACGGTAACGGTGGATCGACATTGAGCGCAGTACCGATGGGCTTTTGTCCTTGTCCGACAAGGAATACACCCGAGTTATTTAAAAAGGCCCACTATCCGTTATCTCGATCGGGGACCGCGGAGAGTAGCTTGAAGTATTTCTTCGTCCGGCGTCTCGAAGGCCTGCCATTCGAATGGCCGCCTGGAGGAAACAAAGCTGCGTTACCCAGCGTTTCTTTCGTCTAATTACCGGGATGTCGTTTTGCATGGCGCTCTAGCGTTGAAATCGCCGGGTCAGTCACGGAGACTGAGCTCGCGATGAGAATCATTGGCCGGAATCGATACGCAACGATCTCCGCGTTCAGGTTGCTTCGCGTGAAAAAGATAGCGCCGCAGATACCGGCGAGCACCGCTTAAACAATTGCACGATCGCGCGGCTTAATGCAATTAAAAGCGATCGCAACCCCCGTTGGCGCGGAGGTGGCAAAATCCGCGAGCTTCGCTCGCGGCGAACGAGCCAGCGAACGGGAAGCATGCGAGCGGGACGTTATAGAAACGAATCTAAATTACAAAAAGATTTGTTCTGCGGCCGAGTATCGTTCCGTCCTATCTAAATCCCGGAGCGCAACCGCGGAAACAATGTTTCGCGTTCATGAAAGGCGCGCCCGGTCTGATTTTCCAGCGCAGAGTCTTCCCACAATTTCCGCCGACAATTATACGCTTCCCGTCTCGGGGCGGCGTTCCGAGACAGCTTTTCTATCGTCATTCCTGAAAACGAACGCGCGCCTCGTGCTGCCCGCGCAAAAGCAAGCACGCCGGGTGGCCGAACGTATCCCGGCGCGCGCGATCCTCAGATAAAATTGAATGATTAGGCGCAAACGAGGCGAGCGCGCGTTTCGCGGCCGAGCGAATAGGAAGAGGAGGAGCCCGGCGAAGGAGGAAAGGGACAAATAAAAAATGATCGCCGGTAGGTAAACCGGGGGAGGAACGATGGAGGGGCTGAGTCGATGGGGTTCGCGACAGCAGGGGCAAATAAGGAAATACTCACCAGCGAGTCCACCTCCGGATCCGCGATGTAGTATGGTTTCTCTTGTCTGATCTGTAACACACGGGCACACGGTTAAAAGCTTTGATAATTAGACTCGGTAATTGCGGTATTAAAACTATAGAAACGATCGTATCTCGGATGGCTGCGTACACGCGCGCGCACACCGGCCTGCGTACGCGTGCACAGGCTCGACCGTCTGTACTCTATATATTCCTCGATCTTTGTTCCGCCGCTCGAAATCCTCTCCTCGTTTCCGTCGTTTCGTTTCTACCCCGCGGTCGAGGGCCGCCTGCGCTCACGGTTCGCCGTTCCAGCCGGTCTTTCTCTAAGCGATTTCCTTCGCGTGCTTCCTCTTAATTGGACCCCCACTGTTCAATTCGTCGGTATAGAAACGGAAACGCGTCGGCGAACGCGATGGAATTCTCTCCCTCTTTGTCTCCTTCTTCTCTCAAACTCTCTCTCTCTCTCTCTCTCTCTCTCTCTCTTTTTTCCTTCTCTTAGCCGCGAGCAGACGATGAACAGCAACGAAAGCGCGACGGAGAGAAAAATAGAGGGAGAGAGAGATCGGAAAGAAACTAACCACGGGATTCTCAAGCATTTTCATGGCGCCGCGTAGTGCCGATCAGAATGGAAACAAAAGGGAGACGGTGCATCCCCGCCCGACTGGTTGCCTCGGTCTTAATTGGACCCGCGAGTTCTTACTGGAAACGCGAGCTACTCGCATCGACGCGCCGAGGGGGAACCGAGCGAACGACAAATGTCGATGAAGTTGACGGATACAGGAACGGTGCCAAGTTCGAATCCGCAAGATTTTCGAAGACGTCGAGGTGTAGTTGATAATTCGGTAGAGATCGATTTGCATCGAAGCAATCCGCGCGGCAATTATTCCGGGGTGTTGATAAAAAAAATTGCCGAGCATCGAATGAAAGTATTTGAAACTCGTCGCGGCGACCTAAAGCGAAAATCACGTGAGTTTCGACAGCTGAAAAGCGTAGCCTTGTGCGACGGTAACAACAGTCCAAGGAATCGTTGCGAAGCTCTACTTTTTTACAGCGGTCGTAAACGCGATTGTAATTTTCCCGGCGCAGAATCACCGGCGCGCTCTGTGGAGTTTGTCTTCAGACTGTTCTTGAACTTCGGGTGAATAAATTCATTATTTGTTGGGAAGTTTTTGCACCGATTCCGTAGATTATGCTTCTATGACGGGTCAATTTGCATGAATTAGCATTAATCGAGTCGCCGATGCATTAAGAGTTAGGCGAAGCGTGTGTTAGTGTCACTTAGTCCTTGTCTATCGAGCGCTGCCATCTAATTGAAGATTAATGCCGATACGAACAGCTTTATAAATACTGAATAATCCTGTTCCGCGAGAACCAGTTTCTCCGAAAACAAATCGAAACGTTCGCTCGGTTCTCTCGACTCCTCGGTGATCCCGAGTCCTGAGAACGTCGTTCGCGAATCCCTACAAATGAATTTTCTCGCAGGTAGCTACACTTTGACCGTTATTTAGGACACTCCACCGATGTTGTCACGGTCAGGTATAGTATGCAGAGTCGGGCAAAAAACTAATCGGCGACTAACGATTGAATTACTATCGTTCATCGTTAATCGCAGTTAACGATTACATTCGTTTCAATCATTAATCGCAATTAACGATCGAAGTATTGCTGTTCATAACGATTGACGATTAATTTCATTGATTCAATCGTCGATTTATCGAAACATATAATATAAACAACATGTTATGTTTAAATGAATCTTTCCGTTATCCAAAATGCAATACCTATTCACCATATTGCGTGTATCATTTTGTTGTTTTAAATTAGAATTTCAGTTTAGTAGTCAGTTGTTACAAATTAACGAAAATTAATAATATTGAAATGAAATTGTCCACAATTCGAATACATGCCTAGTACAATTACTCCCACCAGCAATTAGTTAAATTAAGAAAACAACAGCGCTGTAAAATAATAATGTTGAGGTGGGCTTCATTGAAATCAATGAGTCAATAATTGAGCCGTTTATTTTGAAAGTGGCATAAGTCACTTTGTTCTTAAGTCGATATATTTAAGGGTTTGCGTTTTAACACGTTTCAAAATATGGATGCTAACTTTCGAGAAGATTTACTTGCATTTGTTATCTCAGGATACTGATATTTTTCTCGGTATAAATAATTTCGTATAAACATTAAAAAATCACCACTAAGTATTTTTTATTTTAATATTCATAAAATACAAAAATAATTAGTACATTTTGAAACATAAGTATAAGTAATTTATATGAAAATACATCGGTTCAATTTAATTTTCGTCATCGATAGGAGTGATTAAGTCCTCGGAAATCGAGTTTTGTTTCAAATTTTTCAAATAACTGTGGTATATTGGGGGTATGTAATTAAGCAAGTCCATCATGTCTTTGTATTTTGCTGAAGAAACAGGACGAGATCTAGCGTATAACGGATCCATTCCTATTATATTATTATGTTACTATTATCACTATAATATAATTTACAAAACTGCACTATTCTCTTTCGCACTTATCAAAACAATACTTCACACACACTTATCACACGTTTCTATTTCTTTTACACTAAGCCCCGCAATGAATTTCCTGAGTACAGCGACTTACGCCACTTTCAAAATAAACACGTTTGTTATACCGTTAATTAGCAAAACTTCTCTCGAACAAATCTCAATAGTTCTCAACTTATTGATTGCAAATATTTTAAAAATGAAAAGATACCGTTCGATTGTAATTAGTGTTACCATTAACTCGATTTTTTTGAAAAAGTGACTTATGCCACTTTCAAAATAAACGGCTCAATTAATCAAAATGAAAAATAGTATACGTCATTGTTTGAGTCATAACTCAAGCATTCAATTAACTATCTGTATAGTTTTCTTTCTTTTTAACTTCGAGGGCGTTTGTGAAACGGAGCTACATATTTACCCTTACAGGTGCCTCTTGCACTCGAACCTATCATAGCTCCAAATCATTTGACACGATCTATTGAATTTTATTCGTATGAAATTCAGCCAAAATATATTTATATTAAAAAATATATATATATTTCAAATGAAATTCGTACAAAACAGATTTGGTGATGTCAAAATGATTTTGAAACGTGGTATAGAAATTTTTGGTGGTGCCTCAAAGTAGCCACTCGTGTCCAAAGAGTTAATAAACATCTGACCGTTTCCGAACGATCAAAAAGTAGATCTCGGTGCTTCGACGTCCAGCTTCAGCAATAACAGATAGAAGAACCGTTCTGGTCTCAATTCACCTCCGGTGACGGCTAGAATATTCAAGGGAGCCGCGGCGGCAAAAAGCAATCCTACCCCGAAGAACGAGTCAAAAGCAAAAATCGAATTACGATCACCGATGGTAAGGGGGCTGGTGCCGCTGGCTGCTTCTGCCGTTGGACTCCGAAGAGGCTCGGCACGAAACAGAGCCGCGATTTCTGAGAACGGGACCCGGCGCGTATTCATGAGTCTGAATTCTGAATGGGAGTTCCTCTCGCTCGCATCGGGTGTATAGGTAATGAAGGCGTCTCTCGTACGCCGCACAAAAATACTGTCAACTCTTCGTAGGGGGGAACTAGTTCTTGCAGGGTCCTGTCACCGTGCTTTTTCGCCGATCCCTGAGCGTGCAGGTAGCCACGTCGATTACAAATTGTAAGCAGACCCGTCTCCGCGTTTTGCTCCCTCCCAAACCGTCGTAGTATCGTTTCCATTCGCGTCAGCATCTTTGTGTCGCTCGCTGCGATTCCGAGCTTTACGTTACCCTGCCAGAAAACAGCAATGTCGAAAGTTCGACAAGTTCAGCGCTTTTTATCGTCGGTTCTGGAGGGCCTCCGCGCGGACAATCGTTAGACTACCTGCGCAAAATAAAAATTGTCTACGTCAATGGAAATTGCGCCAGGAAGATACAGAGGGTGAAATAGTATTCGCGCACCTTTTAAAGCGGTGTAACTTTTTTTAAAACTGGACCAAATTACTGGAACTTTTCGGAGATGTCGAAAGGACTGGTTTACCGTGCAATAACTAAAATATCGCTCTTTTAGTTTTGCTATTACTTGGAATGATTATGGAAATAAAAAGCTGACGAAAATGTTAAAAAATGCTTTTTGTGGGTTTCGGTAACTTACATGCATTTTGAAAATCTTATCAAAGTGGGTTCACGTTGTTACGAGCTACAAACTATTAAGGATATCGAAAATCACAGTTTTCCGTAGCACTCGACCAAGAATCGTGAGAATAACACAATTTTTATATTTTCGTTATAAGCTCTGATGACAAAAATAAAAGAACATAATTTTAAGAAAAAGTATTTTTAACTACTGTAACTAAGTAACTACTGTTTTTTATACTCATTGTACTTCGATTGGGAATCATTTTAATAAGTCGATAATAATGCGGCAGTATTTTTAAATATTCTTGTCACGAGTTTCACCCCCGTCGCAGCGCACTATCGTTTTTCCGACACGCGCGCGAAAAAAGCCGGTGTGCCCGTAATAAAATATGAACAAATTAAAAACTGGCTGCGGCGATAGGGTTTTTATGCATTTAATTTTATAAAATCTTCCACGGAATTTCATTCTAGCCGGTCTCGCGATGCCCGGCTATAAAAACGTCCTTTGCATCCCGAAATTTTCAGTGGTAAAAAACGAACGCCACCGAAACGCTGACTCAAAAGGTCAGCTGTTCCAGTATAGAATTCGACAAATCGTTCGAGAAAACCGAATTCCCTCGCGCCATTCATTCTGTTGGAAATTTCAAACAGTCGAACTGTCCGGTTTAAAGTTTCTCAGCCGGTCGAACTAGATCCTCGTCCCGTTTCAGAGTAATCCGGTGGGGACATGATCCCGGTAAAAAATGGGCCCTTCTGTCGACACTCGGCCACTAATTTTTCCGGAAAGACGATTACAGGCACGTGAAAGTCCCGGAGCCCGATAGCGGCCCGAGCGCGGCGTATCGCGCCGATTAGATGTTGAACAGACCAGGGGCGCCCCGAGTGACAGCTAATTGAGTCCATGCATATGTATAAAGCAA